TTTTAACCTATTATCCCTTTTATTTTCGCAGGATAAAATTGAATTAAAAACATATTCAGACAAAAGTTGTAGGGTTTGGAGGAAGACATAAATATTAGGATAAGATCATGTCATAAATATTAGGATAGGACCATAAGTCATAAATATTGGAAGATATAAATATTACCATAATCATTGAAAAGTGAATATTTTTCGAGATATTTTATTTTTGATTTTCTGATATTTTTCAGTCCCAAATATAAAATATCTCATCAAGTATTTACTTTTTGATAACATCACCTTAACACTTTTGTATGTAAGATGACAAGTGGAATCGATCGTTGTAAACAAATATAGAGAAATGTTAAAAAAATCATTGCTTAAATTGCATTTTGCAAATATATCAACGCATCAATGTACAATGATTAATATCACTGATCTGAATGAATTTCTCTCATATTATAATGTTGATAATATCAGTATTATCGAAAAGTGAATACTTTATGAGATATTTTATATTTTATATTGAAAAATATCATAATAAAAAATAAAATATCTCGAAAAGTAATCATTTTTCGATGATCTTATCGTAGTAATTTTATACGCTGAACAAAGGAATCGATTTGTGTTAAGTAAAACTATATAATTCCATAAAAAAAATGAAGTTAACCTTGAAATAATTTTGAATTGTTAACTATACAATGAAATTATGGCCACCAATTTATGTCTCCTTCTAAATCTTACAACTTTTGTCTAAACATAGTTTTGAATCGTCCTTAATCCTGGGAAAATAAAAAGTGAGAGATTAAAATAGGACACTCTGTATATAATCATACAAAATTATGCATGAAATTTATCAATACATAATTTATATATATAATTATTTACTATTATACTTTTAAAAAACTTTTAACCATTTCCTTTATGTTGAAACTTCTAGACTTTCAACATACACAGAGAAAAAAAATGTCACTTCATAACCCTCTGTAATTTCCTACATGGATGTATTACGCCGATCGGGATGGAAACCACGGAGAGACATGAAATAATATGATAATTTTTTTTTTCTATGTATGCTAGGTCTTTCTTTAATAGCAAGTCGTTTTTAAGTTTCAATATTGAGGAAATGGCTAAAAGTTTTTTAAAGTAATAGTAATTAATTAATTATATATAAATTATGTATGGACAAATTTCATAGATAATTTTGTATGATTATATACAGAGTGTCGCAAACCAGTGTCCAAAATTTCGGTTCCCGTGGTATACAGAATAGGCAAAACTAAGCAAAAAAATCATGTACTATTTTGCAAAATTTGCAATAGCTAGTAAGAAATCCATTATTTTGTCGGAGCTAATAAACGCACGGAGAACATTCTATAAAGAAAAATGGCTTATTCCTGAAAATCGCCTAGCAACGATGAGCATCAAATGATTTCTAAAAGCGGAATAACGCAGCAAGCGGAAAGCAGCATGTGACACAAGGATGTGCGCCGAAAAGAAACACGCTTCTTGCTCCCAGATAATACTCATCGTTGCTAGATCTTCAGAAATAAACCATTTTTCTTCATAAGATGTCTGATTTACCCTTTTCCATGCGTTCATCAGTACAGGCAAAATAATTAATTCCTCACTAACTATTGCGAATTTTGTAAAATTTTTCTGTTCAGTTTCGCCCGTTCTATCTGCACACCACGGAAATCGAGAACGATTTGGAATACCTTACATAGCGATACATGATCAAAATGATATAAAAAATGTTTCAACGGACATCTTGATAAATATTAATTTATGAATATCAGAAATGATGGAAAAACATTTTTCGATAAAATATTGGGGGATTATAAAGGACCTGTACTTTTGTCATCTCATTTTTTTCATTATATGAAAATGTCAAATTACACGGATATCAACTTCGTACTTTTAGTACAATATCATGCCTTTAATTAGTTAAGTTCATCGCCAATAAAGAGGTGAATTCAATGATCTGTAATACCCATATAGCATAAATATTAAAAAGACATCCTATAGACGTCTCCGAGATGTTTAATATCTCTGGGACATCTCTAGAATGTCTTTTAAATATTTGTGTTGTATAGGCATTTGATTTCCAGATGATAATAATCTAAAAAGTGAAAACGAAGACAGTGATAAGAATTTAATAAAAGTACAATGGTATTGTGAATAAAGTAATATTTCTTTCTTTAAATATATATATAATATACTCCAAGTGGTTGCTGATTNATTAAATAAGGAAATTATTAACTTAATAATTAATAAAGAAATTTCATATATAATTATAAGGAATACGTTACCGTTCAACGCGTAACTTTTAAACAGCATATTCAAAAACGTCGAGAGATTAATGAGATAAATACTTCAAATATATTATTCAAATAAAAAAAATTATATTTTTTCGCAATATCATTACTTTATTCATTTTCTATCATTGTCTCTATTTATGATACTTTTTATTTCACGATCATCTAGAAATCAACAAATACAAATCGTTGCGTTTATCTATTTTTTTTTTTACAATAGTTAATACAATTACAATTAATTGAAAATAAGATATTTCAGTTTAAAAAATGGTGTTGACCGCCATGCCATATAGCACTTTTACATAGGAATAAAAAGAGACCATAAAAATACTCCTTCAAAAGTTACTTAACTTTTGTTTAAAATTTTTTTTTATAAAATAAATATTTATCAACTTATTTTAAGCAGTAAGAGTTCTAGAGATTTACTCTATATATAGTTAAATATATGTAGAGGGTGATTCAATTTAATGTATCCACC